CAAAGCCCAGTATCAAATTCTCAAAAGCATGCTGCCTGATTCGGTCACACCTGGGTATACATTCAGTCATGGTCTGAGGCACACACCCATAGTGCTGAGATGGCATGATTGCAGGAAAATGAAGCAACTGGACCTGAAGCGAGGTCAGTGAAGTGTGATTTTTTTTTATAATACAAAAGAACACCATAAATTGTCCACAAATTCCCCCACCGCTGGCACTAATATATATAATACACATAATTAAATGAAAACTTGTTTAAACCTGGACCTGGTAGGGCAGGCCTGTAATCCTAATTAGTTAAGAGGCGGAGGCAGGAGCATCTTAAGTGTTCAAGACCTGCATAGGCTACAGAGTGAGTTAAAGGCCAGCCTGGGCAACTTAGTGAGACCCTGACTCAAAATAAAGGTAAAAGAAAAGGGATCAGGATTTAGCTCAGTGTATATAGGCCCTTGTCGAACATGTTTGAGACACTAGGTTCAACTCCAAGTGCCATGAAAACCAAAACAAAACAGAACAAAAAATCTTTTTAAAAAGCTTAAATGAGAGAAAATAGTTGAAACTTGAACTAAGACTATAGTAAGCAAGAGGCACATAAGATACTACTCTTTATTCTAATTTCCTTTCTCAGTATTCAGATGGTATGGAGGTGAAGGAACAGTTTCCCCTCACCCTGTCTGAACATTGACTGGGATGAACTGCCAACACAGAGACCAACAGGAGAAAAGATAAGCAATTTGCTGGTGTGCACAGGGTGCAGTCATGCAGTGTGATTCTCTACTAAGCCAATGAGGCTCACATGGTAGCATGACTACTCACAACTCAGCAATGCTTCGGAGTTGATTACCCACTGACCTGGTGAGGTTCGGGTGCCTGTCTACCCTTCTCCCTAAAGAAGAAACCTGGTGGGGAAATATAGGCAATTCACAGGGATAGCAAATCATTAATCAGGACAATGAAGGCTTGAAGACAAAGATGAGCTTATAAAATGATTCTCTGGAATCTGAATGATCCCAGAGAGACATGTTATCTTGGGACAAAGTCTACCCCTGAGTGGGTGCACTTTGATAGGTTATAAAGTTTCTGGGAAGAGCGTGGAAGACAGTTGCATTCTGGTCTTAATGCAGATTAAATTCCTTCTTGCATCTGCAGGAGAGTGAGGCTCAAAAGGACAAGACCGTGAGTGACCTAAGACTACATCTTAAACTCAACATGTCAAAATGCTGCTCATTGGGGCACCAACAATATATACGTAAGAAAGCATAACATCCATACTGCAAAGTACACAAGTACTGGTGTGGAGCTGCTTCCCTACAGCCACCATGCAATGCAAGACAGGGTGTGCCTGCTTCTCCTCCAGGAAGGCTCTCTCATGCCCCTTCCCAGTGTCTCCCCATGGAAGTATTGGGTCTCAGGAAACAATACGGTGTTTTGACAGGCTTAGAGAGAAATGTCTCAATATGAAGGTCTCTCTAACCTTCTCTTGTCTCTCCCCAAACTATAAGAAGTGGCTCCACACAATTCCCAAAAGGGAACAGAGAGTGCTAATGAAAGAAAGGCAGTGTCTAAAACTTCTTCCCTAGAAATTTCATCAAGTAACTTGGAAAGCTTACCTTAAAAGACATTAAAGGTTGTCGCCATGCCTGCACAGATATCCGCTCTTTCAGTTCATGACTATTCACCTCCAAAAGGTGCCACCTCAGAGACTATTATCTTCAGGGTTATAGCCTCAACATATAACTTTGGGAAAGCACACAGAGAAATACTAAAATTTAGTGATCCTCTCTAGTTTATGTGTCCCCCTCAGCACTGCTGTTTTACTTTTTTGAGAAAACCATTGTTTTCTGTATTTCTGGTTCTATCATTCTGGTTTCACAGATGATGAAGTCCAGGCTCAGAGAGGTTCTAACTCGTTCAAGGTCCCATTGTTACTGCCTCTTGCCAGATCAGAGAAACTTGGGGATCCACAGGAGCTGGGCTAGCAAAGGAGGGAAACAGTGGCTCATATTTTTTGGAAATAAATACAGAATATTCTTTATGTAAACAAATCATTGTTCGCTCTCTTGTTGCATATGCATGACCTTCATTCTCTTCCAAAGACATGGTTGTAAAAAAAAAAAAAAAAAAAAAAAAAAAAAAAAAAAAAAAAAAACCGGCTAACTCTTTTTAACTCTACTATAAGAAAAGCGCCACCACAACATGATGATAAACGAGGGCTTGGCATTAAGGGTCAAAATGCCAGCAGGCAGCCTATTGCAAACTGTCCCAAGCTAATGGCTGCTCCTTTTGTCAAACAATATCATGTAGGAAAAAGAATAGACTCAGTGTTCAGATCTATAGCTAGTAAAGTGGTATAAGGTTACAACACTGTCAGCAAACTCAATTTTAAAACGATAGCAGATTAACATCAGGTTACACAGACAAACTGTCTAAGGGCTGAACTCAGGCCATGGACACTAGCTTGTAAACTCTGCTATGAGGAGTCCTGGATAAGTCTCAGAGGAGAGGCAGTGTTCATGATTCATCACACTTAGCTTTGTACTAGTGGCCAGGGATCTTTCTAAGCACATGTTAAGTGAGGCACTTACCTTCTGTCTTAGTTTCCTCATCTGTAAGTTGAGACTGGGGGATCATCACACTGAGGCAAGATGAAAGGACATGGAAAATGATGGGGACTTAAGAAAAGAGCCCCTCACCCGGAGTCTGGTTGAAGCCCCTCACCAGCTAAGAAGCAAGAATGTCAGCACAACTAACAACTCCTTAAGCCCTTTCTCACTTCCCAGCTGAAAACCTGCACTAGTAATCCTCTGTACAGCTCTAGTGACTCCTGATTTTTCCTTCTCAGATTATAGTCTCATTCAAGTCACTGTTTGAGCCAGTCATTCCACAATCTCAGTTACTAAAAGGGGGGACAGAGGTAAAGGAGTGGAGAGACCCACACCTGGGTGTGCCCTGTCTTTCCTGAATGCCATTTCTCTTAACCTTCATGCTTAAAATCTGTTTAAATGTCTTTTAATAAACAGTGGCTATGCTTGAGAAGCCCACACCCATACCCTTAGGTTTGCTTTAATTATTTCCGTGCCTTCCTTTTTATTTTTAATAAAATATCACATGTTCTCTCACATAGCTGGATGCTAGCTTTGAAATCTCAGATATGCATGTCTCAATTTGAAAATCTAAAGAAGTCAAGAAACTAATAAACAGCCATGGGTTGGGGGAGGGAGGCTTCCTGGGACGGGTGGTAGAAGGCAGTGATATGAAGTGGGGAAAGGGGACATTAGGGCAAGAAGGTTAAATGGGCGGGGAGTGGGAGAGTGGAGTGCAGGAGGGAGGCTGGGGAGGAGTAAGTTAACAGTAAAGGCCTTCAGAAAAAGCCATATGGAAACCTACCACTATAAAAGCTTCTGAAAGTATACGTATACATATGTTACAAAAAGACATGAAAAGGAGTTACCCTATAACAGGAGGACACTGCCATTTCTGGACATCATAGGCTAATTAAAAGAAAAAACAACTCAAAGCCAGGAATGGATTCCTTCTTTAGAAGCTATTGACCACAGGTCCTATAGACACTTAAACAATCCTGGCCATTGTGACAGCTTGCACAAGTCCTACACAAGCTCAAACCAGACAAAATCCCAGCATAGACTTGGGAAAGTGGGTAAGAACCCCCACGCCAACCTAAGGCAATCGTGGCAATTGATGGCTGCTGGGAGGGGCAGAGACAGTCTCTTTCAAGGATGGGACTCTTGGTAGGTTAACCAGGCTCTAGTAGACGGACTCAACTTACAGACATTTGAGAGCAGGAATTAAACTCTATAGGCCATATATACATATACATATATGTACATTAAGTTGGGCTGGGAGCAATAAGGGGGTGTGGCTGGGGGATCTAAATGCCATCAAATTACATAGCATGAAAATCACAGGCATTCAATAAAAAAGAAGAAATAAGAAAATAAAAAGAGAATAACAACTTTTTAAAAACCCAACTCTGCTTCGTATTGTCTAGTCCTGAAATTCTTCTCGTCATCCAAGCCCCAGTCTTAGGTTTGCCTGAGTTCAGGTCCCTAAAAGAGTAAGAGCACCTCTCAGGCTACAGTGTGGATCTGTGCCTCTGTCCCCTCGCTGGCAATGCCAGCCGTGTTGAGTTGATGTCTCTGGAGCTGCCTACTTTTAACTCTTCAGTTACATGTGACAGTGTAATATGTGACCTTTCGTGCTTGTTTTCCTTGACTTCACACAGTATTCTCATGGTTTCTTTATGCTGTTGTATGTATTGGGATTTATTCCTGACTGACTGCTATTTGTTGTATGAATTATCACATTCTGTTTTTTAGTTGACAGAAATTTGAGCTGCTTTTGAGTTGGGCTATTATGAACAGAGCCACTATTAACATTCATATCTAAATTTTTTTCTGAGTCTATCTTCTAAATCCTTGTGGGCATAGACCTAGGAATAAAATGGGCCTGTATTCTCAGTCATTGTGGGCATACCTAGGAGTAGAACTGGCCCATGTTCTCAAGCCTTGTGGGCATAGACCTAGGAGCAGAATTGCTGAGTCATATTGGATTTGTCAGGATGAGTAATGAGGAATTAGTATCACATATAGACTATCACAGAACCTGCTGTATAACAGGTACTCAGCTGTGAGTTATTAACTATTATATTTATTAGATTGATCTTGTATAAAACAAATTGAAATGTATTGGATTAGCCTAGCATCCAGAAAACTAAATCAAGCTCTTGCTGGTATGAGGAAACCCTGTCCCCAACATGCACAACGGACAAACAACACGTTAGCAGTGGTTGAATTATGCATAACACAGCTTCAAAGGAAAACACTCAAAATATTTAGGTGCCAGAACCACAGAGTTCGTGTCGGTGTCATGTCATCGTGTGTCGTCCCCCGCCCCCGCCACCCCGCAAGTCAAAGTTGACACATCAAGGGGGTGACCAACCAGTGAGCAACTGGAGATAACTCACTGGGGCCTGGGATTTTAACCTGGAGATAGGATCTGAAGGTCCTGGCATCAAGGGCTGGAAAGGTGTCTCTGCCCACCAGCTGCTGACCATAGCATGGATGCAGTGGTTTGCTCCAAGTCACAGGAGACAGAGACTCAAGAATGTGGGGCTGCCAGCCTGAATCGGTGCATTCTGAGCTCTCCTGTTCTGTCTCTCCACATTATGAAAGCTCAAGGCAAGGGACAAAGGTACTATTTATACAGACACAGAGAACACCATGGAAGCCCAGCTTATGCAGCAGAAACCAATTCATGCTAAATCTTCTACAGGCCCAGGCCTAGTGGAATACTCAGGGTTCTGTCTCTGGAACTATGCTCACAGGAAACAAAGACCACGACGAGAGTCAAGAAGCACACAGATGCGAGAAGTCACACTCAGAAAACTGCACACAACAGCAGCCTGAAAACGAATGCACAGAGTTCACAGAGATGAAGGACAGGAATTACATGCTGAGAAGAAAGCAAGCAAATCTGAAAGAAAATTAAACGGAACTGATTGATGTAAGGTACGGATTTGATCTGAACTGAACTGAATGATTATTACCATGCTTTGTCATAGACACTGCTGAAGAACACAAAAAATGTAGGAAATAGGAATTTTCTAGCAATAATTCTGAATTATTCTAAAATTATTTCCCCAAAATGATTTTAAAATAATCATTCTAAACTTTTTGGTTCAACTCCTAGAGATTTGTTTTTTAGATTTTGAGGGGTTTGTTTGGGGGTTTTGTTTGTTTGTTTGTGGTTTTGGTTTTTGAGACACGGTCTCATTATGCAGCCCTGACCGGCCTGGAACTCTCTATGTAGACTGAGCTGGCCTTGGCTTCAAACTCACAAAGGTCCACCTGTCTTTGCCCCTAAATCCTGGGGTTAAAGGTATGTGCCACCACACATGGTTTTGGGGGTGGTTTGTTTGTTTTTAATAGTGACTTACTTGCAGGCAAAGATGCCACATTTTACCTGCGTAAGCATCTATTTATGGCAAGAGAATCAGCATAGGAGCATCAGCAGCATGTGTGTAATCCTTCAGCCTTCAAAACCAAAGCCAGTCACAGAGCCACAGTTATCATCCCAGGAGTCAATTCCGGTACAGTGAACCGAAACAAAAATAAATGAAGAAAGGGATGCCACATAGTGCATTACTCAAGAATGTGCTCAGCTATGAATAACAGAAACTCCAAGTAACAGTCAAAGCTCACACAAAAAATTTGCCCTATTGGAGAAGAGTAAGAAGTCGAGGGCCATCCAAGGCTGAAAAACTCAATGGGCCTCTTCTGGGTTTTGCATGCACCATTCTTAGAATGAGGATTCAAGTGAGATGAGTCTTCATGTTTCCTCCTGCGGCAGGAGAGCCATATATCTTCAGGTATTAAATCTGCACTCCTGCTGCATAGTGAAGGGGAGATGGGCAGGGCTCGACCTGTGCTAGGAAAGCAAGACAACCCAGTGGCACAGATGCACGCTTGATAAAACTAGGCTCCTCTGAAAAATAAATGTGGTAAGACCTGACAGGAGCAGGGCTAGTTATATAGCTCAGAGATGAAACACTAGCTTAGGCTGGGAAGGCCCTGGGTTTGCTTCCCGGCATGACCTCAGCTTCTCATGATACTATGGTTGTTTTAGTTGTTAAATATTGAGGAAGCTATGGAACTACTATGTGAAGAGGTCTTAATTTTGAATAAGCACTAAGTTTTGTTAAGTCCTTACAGACAGAAAGAAAACTAAAACATTGCTAATTTTCTTCTCATTTTAGACAGGTCCCTTTTTCTTCATCTATAATTTCAACACACACACAGAAAGCAAAAAAACCAAAACCATGAAAACATAAATTTTTGTAACCAATTTTATGACAAATTCTTGATGTGACTTAAAGAGAATCTATTTAAAATATTTATATATTTAATATGAATGTTTATTTTACATGTTGCAGAAATATTTATGCTTTAAAGTTTCTCTCCATAGCCTATTTAGAATATTACGTAGAGTATCTTTTAAATTTGAAAGAGTCTGAATTCTTATTTCAAAGCCTAATGATTTGAAAATGGGACTTTTAAAACAAACGCACAATGATGACCTCAATATAAATAGAGCTTGGCAGAAATCTTAGGAAATTACTTTGACTCGGTCAGAAAGAAATGAGAAAAGAGGTCCTGAACTTCTGAGACTCTGGTATAAGATCAGATGACTATCTGGTTGCTTAAATTGCCAGTTACTTAAATTTGAGTAATTTAAACCATTTCTGTAAGCCACTCGCTTGGAACGAAGGCATGGAGAATTCTTTCTAAAATTTAAATATGACATAAAATCAAAATCTGAACTAGTCCCACAGTTAATCCCAGAAATGCCACTAACTTGTTTCACTACCCATCGCTGTAATGTCACAGGACACAGGATAACGAGAGCTCAGGAAGTCCTCACGCTTACTGGGAGCACTGCAATACAAAGATAGCTAACCCCATGAATACTGTGGGTGCTTAGAACACAGTAGCTAAAAATTTATCTGTTTATTCTCTTGTTTAACCTCCATATTCTCTTATACAAGCACTATCTTATGTAAGAACTAAGTAAGACAGTATTCAAAGGCTCAGAAATACAATAAACTGAAACTAACTTCAGCTTTTTTCAGTCTTTCTGTGTCAGAGGACCAAGGAAGTGATTACACCAAACAGCTACAGCAGTGCTCCTCAGTTAATGTGTGCAAGAACCACAGTGAGGAGTGAGGGTTTAGTGTTAAAAAATAAAATATACATTAAGGGCTGGCAAGATGGCTGAATGGGTAAAGGCACTTGCCACCAAACATATCAATAAGACGTCAATCCCCGAGACTTACATGGTAGAAGGAGAGAACCAGCTCCCACAAGTTGCCCTCTGACCTCCACATGCATGCCATGGTATGGGCATGCCCACAGAGTAAGAGTTGTTTGCTACTGTAAGGCATTTGAGCAAGGGCCATACCTCTTAGAGCATACAGAAAGTCTCAGGGGAACTTCAGGTGCCTTTAAGTCTAGCCTGCTTGCCAAGAGGATGAGGAATGAATGTAATTGAGATGTGGGCGAAAACCTCTAAAACTGAGAAGCTTCGTTCTGACATGCACTTGGAAACTGCAGAATTCATGCCAAGATTTTACTGAAATGTAGTTGGGCCCAACCTCGAGGAAACGAGTTTTTGACTCAACCCCTGTGCCTCAAGTAGAGTAGTTCTGGAGGTTTTAGTCAGTATCTTGGGCCTCTTTCTTAGAAGGAACATTCGACCCCACAAACAAACACAATTTCAGCTAGATAACAGGCCTTAAGAGAAACAGCAAAGTGGAAGGAGTTCCAAGGGTGGACAGTTTCTACAGGGCCTGTCATACTGACAGAATCTCTCAGATTCCTTCCCCCATCTTGTGTCTGTAACAAAAGTAATCTTTTCCTAACAGAACTTTGCTCTTACTGTCCAGCTATGAAATAATCTAAAGTTCACTGTTCCTGTAGAGATAGAGAAATACTGAGTCATTTTTGTCAACAATCCAATGAGATTTTATAAAGACATCTACTTGTGTAACCACAACTGCAGTCATAGACTGAACAGTTTCATCATCATCAAAACCCTTCCCTGCCCCTATGCTTGCCTGTCCTTTCTGTGCTCTCTGGGAGGGAACTCATGTAAAGGTAGCCAAATATACATGGCTGGAGAGGTCATAGATCCTAGAGAAAACCCTGGTCTGTCACATCCCTAGACAAACAGAATTTCTTACTATATGCTAAATATGTATCCTTATATTTACAGACAAGTATACCAGTCACCACTCATCAATGAAACTTCTTTTTTAAATAGGTAGAGACTATTACAGAGTTCCACAACTGGTTAAGAGCAGAGAATAAGAGTCTGTGAGCTGCCCAGTCCTAAGTGGCACATCTACAATGGAACTTGTTAATATTTGATAAATACGCTAAGGCTCATAGAACACAGTAGAACAGGGGGAAAAGAGACTAATAGTGCATCTCTCAAGTCTCACGAGCAAAGCCGTGCACAACAGAGGGTAATTAATACAGAAAGCCACAGCTGACCAAAGTGTAGAGAGTAAGAGACTGTAGAGTGCATGTTTCTGGATTTCTAATTTCTTAATACTTCTTTTTCATTTAGATTCTGGTGATAGAACTGGAGAGACGGCTCAGCAGTTAAGAGCACTGGCTACTCCTGCAGAGGACCCAGTCCAGTTGCCAGCACCCGCATGGAGATTAACAACCATCTGTAACTCCAGTCCCAGGGGACTTGACACCCTCTTCTGACCTCTGAGGGCATTGCAGGACACAGGTGCACTTACACACATGCAGGCAATACATTCATAAACATAAAAAATTAAAAATAAATTTAAAACATTTAGATTATGGAGATATTTTCATAGTTCATACTAAAATTTGATTTCAAATATACTTTCAATGTAATTTTTCTAATTTGTCATAAGCAGAATAGGCTTTCTACTTAGCATGCAACCTTGTACAGTTACCCTGTTCAAACACCGAGCCTTATTAGCTGTTTCTACTTACTTTCATACAGATAGGCTTCATAAAGACATACAATATATTGAAACAAGGTTCTTCTTTAAATTTATTTTTATTTTATGTGTATGAGTGTATTACCTGCATGTGTGTAAGTGCACCCATGTCATGCAGTACCCGAGGAGGACAGAAGCGGTGTCAGAGATCCTGGAACTGGATTTATGGACTGTTGTTAGTCACCATATGTATGCTGGGATTCAAATGCAGTTCTTCTGCAAGAACAACTAGTGCTCTTAACCACTGAGCCATCTCTCCAGTTTGAAACAAGTTTCTTTATTATAGCATCATATATTTTGTATTTTATATTACATCTTTTAATATTTGATAAAGATGCTTAATTAACATATGGAATGCCTTGTGGCATTTAATCTGGCTGCCCACTAGATATTATAATGTAACTCTTAAAACAGACATGAAAACATTTCATCTGTTTGTGGGAATCAAAAATGCACGAATCCTACACACAAAATCAGAAATTGTTATCATATGTCTATTCACAAAAGCAACATTTTCCACATTAAATTAAGATTACAAGTCCCACACAAACTCAGCATAATCATTGGGATGTGCAAACAGTAGACATATATCCACAAATACAGCAGCCATATATGCCACATTACCAATTGCTGTCTGGAAAAATTTGAGGAAAATAAAATTTTATTCAGAATCATCTTGTACATTCATTATGACCTGATTCTGAGTCCTCTTCCTTGCTGCCTCCCTCAATACTTGATGAGAGTCTGTGAGCCACAGGCTGTGGTCTCCTGAATAAAAACAGTGATTTCTGGCCACAGGTCAAAGCCTGATGTGTTTGGACACTGTGGGAGACAAACATAATAGATTGAACTAAGTGGAGAAGAATATCTCCTAACTTGTGTGGTTCAAACCAGAACAGGATGCAATGCGAAGAGTAACTTCCATGGTTTCTCCCTGCAAGTTTCCATCTAGGAAGGCGGCTAGTTGAG